AAATTTCATCCCATGGATTCTGCAGTAGACTAACTTTTCTGAATTGCAATCCGTGGACTTGCAGTTGACGTTTTTACATTCCAGAATTTTATGCAAATGTAGTTGTAAAGAAAACAACAAAAACTGAAAATGTGCATTATTCATTGGTTAAAGCATGGAAATAGACATTTTGAAGGGATTACCTTATTTCCAAAGGACAAATGAATGGAATGGAATGGAATGGAATGGAATGGAATGGAATGGAATGGAATGGAAGAAACCTGATTTGTCAATGAGTGTATAAGAGCAAACAAAATGGTTTTAACAAAATGTTTACACCCCTAACTCCCCTCCAGACTTCAAAGCAAAGAATAAAAGGCACATAGTGGCTGAAGTCTAGGAGAAGATGTGGAGGAAACTTTTGAAGAACAAATTGTCATAGTTTCAAGGAGTCATGATGTCATTGTGAGGGACTTCAATTTTCACGATATCTGTTGAAAGAGAAATTCTGACAAACATGGACCCTGCAAGACCTTCCTAAAATGAGTTGCTGATAAATCTGTACAACAGAAAGTGGAGGAAGAAACAAGGAGAATGGCTATCCTTGGCTTGATACTAACCAACAGGGAAGATCTAGTGGACCAAGTGGCAGTTGTGGGAAGTCTGGGGGGAACTGACCATGCCGTACTTGAATTCTTGATTCCAAAGGAAGCAAAAGCCAAATATGTAGCCTGGTTTTCAAAAAGCCAATTTTAATACACTCAGAAAAATAATAAGTAAAACCCCATGGCAAGTGACTATAATGAGAAAAGGATTCCAAGATGGATAAGAATTAAAAAAATAATTTCTAAAAACACAATTACAAACAATTCTAGAAAATAAAAAGGGTAGTATACAACAGAAAAAATGCTTAGAGATGCTCACAAAAAGCTTAGAGGTGATCTGAGGAAAAAAGAGGACATGCATAGGAAATGAAAGGAAGAATACAGACAAGTAACATGGAATTGAGGGAAAGCTTCAGGAAATCTAAAGCTAGGAATGAATTAAGTCTACTGAGTGATGCTAAATGCAACAAAAAGTCTTCCTCAGATATGCCCAGAGTAAAAAAGAAAGGAAAGAAACAGGGGTTAATCTACTCAATGTGAAAGGCAAACTGATAACAGATGACAAAGAAAAGGCAAAAGTGCTCAATTCCTCCTTTGGCTCAGTCTTCTTCCAAAAGAAGAACTACAACCTTCCTGATGAAAGAGAAGTACAAGCAGAAAGAGAAGGATGGCAGCTCAAGTTTGATAGGTAAATATGGTCATTGGGTTCAATGAATTCTACTCTCCAGGACCTGATGAACTATACCCTAGAGTCATAAAGAAGCTGATGAAAGAACCCTCAGAACCACTGTCTATTATATGTTGGAGAAATCATGGAGGACAAGGGTTGACTGGAGAAGGGATAATATTGTCCCTCTCTACAAGAAAGGAAGAAAGAAGAAGAGGAAGAAGAGTAGCAGCAACAACCTGGAGACTGCAGACCAGTCAGTCTGGCATCACTCCCTAGAAAAATTCTGGAGCAATTTATAAAGCAGTCAGAGTGCAAACAAATTGAAAACAATGCAGTGGTTCCTGGAAGCCAGGAATCTATTCTCAAGAATAAATCCTGCCAGACTAATCTATTTTTTTTTTTTTTTTTTGGTAATTCAGTGATGGACTGTGGGAATACTGTAGTCATAATCTATCTTGACTTCAGCAAAGCTTTTGACAAAGTGCCCTGTGATCTCCCCATTACCAAACTAACTAAAAGTGAGCTTGATGGAACAGCAATCTGGTGGGTCCACAGGTAAATACAGAATCAGACTCAAAGAGTGCTCATCAGAGGCACCTTCTCAAACTGAGGAGTGCTAACAAATGGGGTATGGCAGAGTTCAGGGTTGCGGGCTCTCCCAACTAGAGGCATGCAGGATGCGACTGGACAGCCAACTGAGAGCAATGGTCTAACTTGGAGTCCTGCACCAAACAGATGGTTGGGCATGATGGCAAGTACACAAGTATGTACATATTTTCATATTGTAAAATAAAACTGGCTGTCAAACGTGAACATGGAAAATCCCTTGCACTGAGGTAGTGCTTTTATCCTGATTGCCCAGTATTGTCAACATTAACAGGCAGTGGCTTTCCAGCGTTTCAGACAGATTTCAGGTAGAGGTGGGATGAACCTTGTCAGATCCACCCCTTCAAGCATTTGCAGGTTTTCTCCTGTGCTCAGCTCAGTCTTCCAAAATAAGTGAAAGCAAGAAAAAGTCGTGAACTACTCCATCAGCATTCACAAATAGCAAATAGCTGCACCAATGGAGGTGGTGGGGGGGTGCTTTCCTGGTAATGAACAAGCACCCCACAGCCAGCCTTCTTTGGTGCAAGGATCAACCACCATGGCCACTCCCAGCATGTGGACCTTCAGAAAGTGAACTGGAATCCAGGCAGGTGAGCCCAGCGAATCTGACAGATTCCCACCTCCTGAGGGCTTGGTCCCACATCCCTATTTTCAGTTTTCCAACCCTAGCTGGGGGTGCTAGGAATTCAAACAAAGATCTTCTGTATGTAAAGCATATGCTTTGCCATTGAGCCACACTTGTCGTGGAATTGGGATGGAATGAGCTTAGTATGATATTTTGCAGATTTTCTGTACCTAATTTAAGTTTCCAGATTTAAAAGCAAGTCTGTGTTTCTTCTATGTGCGATTCTGCGAAGAAAAATGAACAAACGCTATTTTTCAAGTTCCTTAGAGTAGGGTTAAGTCAGTATCTGTCACAAGAGAACTTCCAATTTGAATGTGTGTGTTCATTGGGGGTGGGGGTTGAAGTTTGGACCTCTGAAACAGATGGTTGTTTCACTAATTTGGAAATTTAAAAACAGATTTGTGGAAAGCTCATCAGTAAGAGCACTTGTATCTGCCTTTTTTTTTTGCATCAATAGCAGATGCCTTTTCTAATCAGACCAACTGCCATTTTGTTCCCTCAGAATGTATGTAGCTTCAGTCCAGATCATCTGGGGGGAAATCAGCAGCCATCACTTCATTTCTCTAAATCTGAACAGTTTTACTCTGACAAACTAAAACATACTGAGGGGGGGAAAAGTAAAAGCAATAACTTTTTTTGAGTTCTCTTGACAAAGAAGGAATTGTCTTTGGATAGTCCCCAAGTCAACACTTCCAGCTGCTTGCCGATCAACAGCTTTGAAAGGAAACCTCCATTATGATGTGCAGGCCAAGATCTGATCTCTGACAACAGCCAGGATTTTATTTTAATGAAATGTTGTAAATAATAAAAAAGATGAATCATGTCGGCAAGTAAACTAGTAACTGTACACTACAGCTAATATAAACCAGAATGCTTTAGTATAACGAGTCCCCTAGTGCAGTGCTAGCAGAGAAAACTGTTGTGATGGATTTCACTAGAAGGGCCAATGGGACAGGTTTTGCTGCTGAAGCTGTGTTAGAGGTCCTTAATGCTAACACAACATAATGTATTGGATACTGGTGTTGGGAAAGTCCAAATAAAGCTTTTTATAGAAAGATTACTTATATATGTCTTCTTTATACAAAATTGGACAGCAGTGACAATGCTCCTCTTCCCCAGAAAGGACTAGAACTTTTTGGCCAGGCTCCCTGTGCCTGGGGAAGCCAGCAGCACTGGAGGCTCCATTATTCATCTGTTTCTTTCAGAGACTGAGACACCCCACTGCATCTGAGGCTGCTTGACACTGTTGCAGAGTTAATCCTTTCAGGAATGTCTGCAGGTGGCTCTGGTTGTCAGCTGGAGGGACTCACTATGTTCCTGAGCTTCCATGCAGTTAAAGTTGAAAGAATCTGTCTGACCAGCTCACTGGCTGCCTGGAACAGCACTAAATAAACTTTTCCCATCCAGATGCGGTCATCTCTCCCTGAATTTCAAAACCCACACGTGGGATCTGCTATGATGCATATCACTCTGCTGTTTGCCTTGTCATTGTGCAGCAAGCACCCATCACTGTAACCTTGTGCAACATCTTCTGTGCTGTTAACTTGACATTGTTGTGTTTGTGCCTGCATTGTTTTTCTCAAGGTGCCCGTTCTTCCCTCATTGTCACCACAACTGTATACATGACCCACAACCTATAAAACATTCTGTGTACACCCAGGGAAATTGTAGTTGCTGGGCATACTGGCAACCTGGCAGCGCTGTTGTATTTTGTCTCTGTCAGAGGGATTCCTGGATGACCTTGTCAATAAATGGCTGAAGTTCAAACGTGGCGTCTTCCATGTGGATCTGAGTGTACATGCTGCCATTATGCTAATCCGAGAATCCCTGACATTGGCCATTGACATCTGTTTTTATTTAGGGTTCAGTTACTCATGTTGAGTCATGACCTCCACATGGTGTACCTACCCCATGGTTTGTGTGCCGGCCTGATTGCAACAGCTGGGTTTGTTTTGACTGCAGCTCATAGGATTAAAATGCACAAAAATAACTGCTGATGTGTGTTTGATTTGGGAAAAAAATGCAATGAATGTATCAGTTCAGTTGGGATCATCTATCATCCATCTAGCATCCATCTATCTATTTATCTATCTATTGTGTATCTATCAATCTACAACTACTCTTAGCCTGCATAAGAAGGTTGTGGGAGTTGTGAGCTCTCCCGCACTAAAGGCATTCAAGATGTAACTGGTTAGTCATCTGAGAAGGGTGGTGTGAGCTGGTGTCCTGCACTAGCAGGGGTTGGACCCAGTGGCCTTGGCCCCTTCCAACTCTACTATTCTATGAATCTTTGATTCTATGATTTATCTTTTGTATTCATATCATGGATGCTTTAGGAAATAAAACAGACAACACAGAAGAAGAGACAAGTACCATGCTGACTTGGTAACTTATCACTTAACCTCAAAGGTATAACCAGTGGAAGGTCACATTCTCTGTAACTGAAATTACAAAGACCCCTCTATTGCAAGTATGTGCACTAGTCTTATTATACTAAAATGAAATCTGATCTCACCATAAAGATGGTTGACATCTCCAGTGATAAGACTTGTCAACATCTTCATCCTTCAAAAAAGCATAAAGCATTTATCAAAATTGCAGAACAAACTAAAATGCTGGGTTTGTAGTATATCCTTGGTTTCATTCAAATATTTGTATTGAAAAAGCATCAAAAGCATGAAGAGAAAAAATATTCATCAATTCTTCAGCAAAATATATAATAAAATGCAGTATGTTCTCTTCCTCTCTTAGCTTTCTGAATTCATTATAATTTCAGCAACTGTTTAATATATTTTATCAAACCAGCCACACACTATGGTAGAAATATTGTCATCCATGACTGAAAGAATGAAATTATACAGTGTCAGTTCTCATATTGGACCCGACCTGGACTTTAAATAACTTTATCTGGAAACATAATCCATTATTTTGGCTCAAACATGCCTAAGCCTGTAAACAAAGGGCCTTATTCAAGGGCTTCTGGCCCTGTCTGTGTGCTAAAAGCAGATTGTAACAAACCAAACATTGAAAAGGAAGAGTGATTTAAACAAGACACCATTAACAGCAAAGCAATTATGTAAAACAGTCTTGTTTACACTGAGTTTGATTCACATTTATGTTGCATTAGCCACACTGGCTGAAGTGAACTTCCCCACTAGTCATCCCTGAGGTGGCTCCTTCAGCCCCCTGGAATGAAACAGAGAGCATCCGGAGACCCTGATGAATGGGCTGAATGTGGCATGTGTGAAGGGGGACAAGGGCCTGTTTCCCAACAGAATGCTTTCTCTTCTGGAAGGTGCCTTCTTCTCATAGAAGGCACATTCTGATCTAACCCCTTCATGATTTCTTGGAGGGAGGTATGAGCAGGAATATCCTCTTTCCCTGTTGATAGTCAATTTATGTTTGGATCTCCTGGTGTGTGCTATTTGACAAAATTCTCATGGATTTGTTTATAATGTTTTAGAATATAAACATACTGTTTGTGCTAATGATTTTATATTGTTTATTTTGGAACTCCAGTCATCTGTTCCAGCTGTAGATAATTAATAAGTTGGGGCATCTGTCTGGTTATTCAATTAACTGGCCAAACTTGGACCCTATAATGTATTATCTAATTGGCAATTTAGATTTTGTGCTGAGTCTACTACCTATATGGAAAAACTTGTCCCAAGTGACATATATAATGTTTAAGCTAAATTTGAATAAGTTATTTATGAGGTTTCAAGGGATATTGACAGATGGGTATATATAAAATTAAGTCAATGATGTAAGATAGACACACTTATTATGTAATGCATGGTATTGTTTATGTTTTATGTGGCACTCCCTTATATATGGCATGTATTTCCAGAAGCTTAGTTTTTGTTTTCATGATGTTATGGAATTCTACTCTATCACAAATATATATTTTTTAAGATGCAGCTTTTGATTAAAAAGGACAGAATCGTCCTTTTCCTTGTATTATTTGGCCTGTTTGTTGATTTGCACTAGTTTTTGGTCTTTTCTTTTTAGATTTGATTCCTCTCCTGGTCAATTTTAGAATAATCCTTTCTTCCAAAGTGGACTGCATTGGGTTCTTATTATACTGAAACACATAATGTGCTTGCTGCAGTCATCTAATTTATGCCACTTGCAGTTAGAAGCATTTCCACCTGCAAAATCAACTTTATGAGTAAATCAAAATTTGACAAATGGCCAAAAAACTTGTTTGGTAGACTTTCATGGACAAGATGATTTTTACTTTGAGTCAGCTTGTTGGTCCTGATGATATATTTTTGCTGTTGTCCACTTTGTGTTTTAAATATAAATTACCAGTTATAGCTCTATGGCAATATATGCAGTTGAATGGTTTGCTATAAACCAGGCTTGGTCCTGCTGTTTTTATAGCTTTGGAGCTTTCTGTGTCACTGAAGGTATTGAATGAAGTGAAACAGCCACATCAGCCTATAATTAAGGTCTGTCATCAGCAAATAAATATGATACTTCTGTCAAAAATAGAATAATGAACTGGAGCTCTTCATTTTGGCCAGTCAATGAAAGGCTTCATTATTATTTTTTCAAAGAGTCATGGAACTTAGGATATGCTTAATGTAGCAAAAACTGATGTCACATGTACTGAATATGACAGCAACTATTTGACAAAGACTTAATTAACTAGGCCAGTTGCTTGAGATGCAATGCTTTTAATGCTTCTCTCCTTCATATACTTGGCAATGCCCAATGGCAGCTTCTCTTTGGGAGGAGACAATAGTCTGGATAAATCTTGTAATGGAAAATTCTTTAATATTTAGGGATACAAATGTTCTTTTAGATTAACTATGCATTTAATGGTACTTAATGTGTGGTCAATGTCATTTTTTTCTGCACCCAATTGACAAATAAAGATTAATCTTAAAACAATAGAAAGATAATCAGCCACCTGAAATAGCACAGTGAGTGGAGGAAACTGATTTTTGCATTTCTCTGTAATCCAAAAATGGATAAATGTATGGATATTTGGGGTGCCTTTGCTGATGTCTGTGCATAAGATTTTTAATCGCTAATATGTTCTGTTATATAGCTATACATAAGGATGTATAATATATACCTTATCAGTAATATGGGGCTGTTTAAATTTCATCCAAAAATTATAATGTTTTGTTTTATTTTTTTCCCACCAAAACTATGCTTTGGCTTTGGCTTTAACTTTGTTTGGTTTTTGTATTTAATGTACAATAAAAAGTGTGTGTGTTTGTGTGAACGCATGCCTGTATCTGGTTGGGTTTGCATTTTTGTTCAGATGTTTGTATCCCACACATTTTCATTCTCCTGTTGGATTCTTCACATATCCCTAAGATTTAGGTACAACTACAGTCAGACAGAATTACCCTGATGTTAAGGATGCTAGAAATTCAGTGTCAGAAGATTGCATGTCTAAACCATTTGCCCTCCTGCCACACTCTATGCAGTTTTACCTTAGAATGTTCTTCTCCATCAGCTTTTATAATTATCTCAATGGAATTAAGTGTTTCTGTCTGTATAAAATATAATTTTACACACTGGTAAAAAAGAATATGCTGTTTCTGCCTACATATATGTAAAACTACATTTTTAGGCAAAGAATGACATACCGAAATATAATCACTTGTTAATGCTATGCTTTCTTTTCCTGATTTTATTTTTAACAGCTTAAATTTGAAGACAAACTGTACTGTGCAGTCCTCAGCATAGTTAATGATTTACCAGCTTAGTGTTTTTAAAGATTTAAGAGGTATATCTTCTCCTCCCTGCAGGCAAAATAATACCCTGTAAGGCACCTTCTTTCCCTACAACATGATGGGCACTCATATGTACAAAAGTGCTCTCTGCATGCAGATCTCTTTTCTAGACCAACATCTGGGTCTGGGTACATAGAACACTTTGAAAAGCTTTCCAGCTCCATCAACCCACCATTTCAAAAAGAGGAGGGCCAGATTCATCTCTCCTTCTGGTGTTCCCCACCTACCTGCTCCATGTGTGCATGGTTACCGCTTCAAATTGGAGTGAAGATGTTGCTTGGTTCCTAAGAAAAGGCAGTTAAGGAAAAAAGAAACAAAATGAAACAGTACCATTGCAGTTTGTCAAAACCCAACTGATGGAGTCTCCAGTGACAGTTGGCATGCAGCATTCATCTCCATTCTCTGGGGAACATTTCTGAAATTCACAGAGAAACCTTGCCTGAATGCTGTTGATACTTTTAATGTCAGACCCTATCAAGTGTGTATTACACATACCTATCAACACCTTCCCATTGTATAATCCCACTGAACTTCGCTAAGCTTTCAGCACTCCCGCCCACAGTATGTTAATTAGAGGCAACAAAATGCCAGAACTGACACCACTCCAGTTAGACACTTCTCCCTATCATGATGTAGACATAAATGCAGAGTGGATGCCTCACAGAAACCTCCATTGCCTTGTTCATTGCTGTTTGACTTCTACTTCAAACCAGCTTTTCTTCTCCCATCAAACTATTTCTACCCTTTGATTTGAAACTTGAACTTTCTACAAAGACTTTCAGTGTTATTGTTATTCCATCTATTTTTATAATGCCGCCCTCTCTTTCTTCCCTCTCTCAATCTCTCTCTTTCTGGTGTGTTTACACACACACACACACACACACACACACACAAAGGGAGAGAGGGAAAGGGAGAAAATGAGAGAGAGAAAGAGCAAATGCACTGACTGACACGCGTACACACACACACACACACACACACACACACTTCAGTGCACTGGTAGCTGAGAAAATAACCCTTCCTAGAAAGTAATTTCATTTGGAAGGAATATTGTCACCTCCACCTCTGCCAGTCACAATGCTTTGATTTCTAAATAACTCCCTTTTGACCTTGAATAATCACTATGTATTCATAATTAATAATAGCCCTGTTTTTAATAGCCTCTAGCACATGATTTTTAATGACTGATTTGTCTTCAGTATCTCATGCAAAATTATGACAGGTTCGCTTTTACGTGTATACACATACACTCCAATTTGTATTTGAAACTGCAATCTCTGTGTACAGTGCAATTTATTTTAAAGAGATAATTACAAACTTATACTATTCTAAAACATTATTTACTTGGAGTAAAAGATGTACCCTGAGAAATGTGGAAGTCAATTCTTCATGGTCTGGCTCCATGCTCCTCTTGTTCCTTTTGAAGAGAACAGCATTGGCTACCCAAAAAATTTAACTTCCTGAAGGAAAATTTCCTTTTCATGTTGTTGAAACATAAGAATTATCTTAATCAAAGCCCGTTTTGTCCATCAATCCATTTCCAATGTCGAGGGATCATAGCTCAATGTAAAAGCACCGTCTTTGCCTCTGGAAGGTACCAGTGTTATCCATGACAACACCACTTCAAACATTTAGGTAGATGGTGGAGAATGCCTCTATCTGAAACTTTAGGGAAGATTTTTAGTCGAAATAAACTCTCCTGGTATAAAGCAGTTTTGTATGCTCGTTCTGTCTGTAACCAGCCAGTCTTTTGGAAATACACATACAATTATGGATTGGTTACAACAGGAGAAGAAAAAAAATGTTTCACTTCACAATCATGAGAAAGCATTCTGTTTGCAAACACTAGTATGCACACTTGTAAAACCAAACACTAGTAGGAACATTTCCCCCCCAAAAAATAGATGCTCACAAATGCCAAAATGTGTGATTGTATTTGAAAAATGAAGTTTAGAAATGCTTCCTTTATATGTGCATTTAAAAAAATCACACTTTAGTCAAAGGAGGAAGTGTACACTTCAAAAAATAGGTTTATCACTCCTATTTGAAGTCCTCTATTTCTGTGAAAATAATGGGAATGAACAGGTAGTGATTGAAAGTGATTTTCAGAATGTTTAGGTGAAATTATTTCCTATATGTTTTCCTATCCTTTTTCACCACAAATATCACAGAAGTGGAATTACATTCTGGGAAAGATTATTTCTTACCTTTCTCATACTATTCTTTATTTAGAAAATTCCTACATTTTAATACATTTTAAAAGACATTAACCAGGACACTGTAACCTTAAGAGCAAACCTTTATGTTTATGGTTGATCCTAGATACCATTTTTAACAGGATTTTGTTATTTGTGTTATCTTTTGGGAAAGTTTGGCCATCTAGAAAATACAGTTTTAATTCATGCAACTTAACTCATGCAGTTCATTCGCCACACTTAGGAGAATAAATGTCCCACTGAGTTAAATTCAGATGTATGTTCATCTTCCTGATACCAAGAGGGAAACTTTGACATCACTGCAATTGACAAGAAAACGTAATACAGAAAAGCAGTGTCATATTCATTTCCATATGAATCAATCCATCACTGGTCACCATTAAACTTTTGTGCATTTTTATGCCAACAAAGTAGATAAGGTTATTTTTTAATTTTAATTTTTTATTTATAACTTGTAGATCCACACAGCTGAATAATGTTATTAATGCTAATCAGCTACTATGAAAAGTGACCTTGGCATCAGACAAAGAATGAGAACCCAAGCTGAAATGACCAGAAACAGGATTGTGGTGTCAATCTAGAAAACAATGTACCATAGCAAACAAGTGAAGTGATTTATAGAGCAAAAGCTTAGCTTAGAGCTGTATCAGATTGGCAAAGAAAATAACTTTTTTAGCTGGGTTACCCATCTTGAAATCAGCTGCTTTGTCTTGGCTGTATTTCATGTTTGAGGCAAACATTCTTTTGTGGGAAGGAGGCAAAAATTGACTTACTATTATGTTCCTCTTCTCAGAAAAACCTTCTCTTAGGTTCGTTGGGAATTTCAGGACATTCAGATTGGTTGCAAGCATACACTTGCCTCCCTTATCTGCCACTTGTACTGGGCAACATTGGAATATGTATTATCTACAGATGAACTCACTTCTGCATAATTCCCCCAGCTGGTTAGTTTATCTGAGCAGTACAATGTTAAATACTGTTCCATACATATTTTCTTCATGACAGAAGGACACATTTAGAAAAACATGCTGTGCCATCCCATGCAACCCCTTTTAAAACATGTTTGTTTTTTAACCCGTTGATTAAAAACAAGTAATCATAGCAATGTTTTCCAATCCCACATTCAATGATATTTATTTCAAACCAGATCCAAAGTTGTAAAAGACTCAACTTGCAAGGAGGAAAAGGAACAGATCCACAGTGCAATGCTATGTCTTTCTAACTATTGAGTTCAATGGGACTTTATCCTTTGCACTTTAATAAATGTGCAAAAGAATTTATGAAATGATCTGCAATTAAAATGTGGAACATCAATTCCAGAAAACCATTTCTTCTCAATGTACTGGGTCAGTGGCATGAATACTTCCTAGAATCACTGTGTCTCCCCAGTCCTAGTCTGACCACAGCTATTCGCAATGGCAGTTCAATGAAGCCTCCATTTTCAGAGATGGTTTACTTCTAAGTATCAGGCAAACATCGGGAAGTGGCCATTACACTTATACCTTGTTTGTTAACTTTCAGAGGCATCTGTGCATATGCTGCTGGAAATCAGAGTCTTGAACTTTATTGATTTGATCTGCTCCAACAAATCAGTCCTTAACTTCTTGGTGTTTTATGGTGCCAACAAGTGGTTACTAAAATGATGCCTGAGTGTAGATATGAATGATTGGCATCATAAAACTGAACCTGTATGTGGGTATTAGATTTGCAATGCATTGCTGGCAGGGTCAAACTGAGTCTATCCTGATAGTGTTGCTGCTCCACAAAGTGCTATTTCCCTAGCAGAAGCTCTAGTAGGTAAGTTTTTGTGCAATTTGCTTCTATCCCAAAAGAGATGGATCCTGAGCTTCTTCTGGTTCTTTCATATGCAGGTAATGCTAATTGCTATGGCATATTAATAGCCTTATTAATTTCTTAGATTTTTATCCAATCTTTTTCTTTTGTAAAGAACTCAAAGAGTTTTAAATCAATTCCCTCCTACTACTCTCAATCTTATCCCCACAACTGTGTGTGGTAGGTTGGGCTGAGAGTTTGTGACTGGCCCAAAGTTACCCAGTGACTGAGTGGGGACTAGAACCCAGGTCATCTGAGTCCCAGTCCTGCACTCTCAACCACTTACACCACACTGGCTTTACTTGTTCCTTTGTCAGTAGCCAGTTCTAGGATACCACAAAGAAACATCAGCATGCCAGAAACAATGTAAAAATTTGTTCTTCACATTACAGGAGGGAAACCTTTTAGCTTGCATTGTCATGGCCACCACTGTTTGTGCCAGTGCAGTTAAGGGCTGCAGAATCCTAAGAACAAACAAACAAACAAATTAATCAACGATAAAATAGATTTCCAAGTCAAGGCAGATAGGCACAGGATATAAGTGCCACCCGTTACTCAAAGTTAATCAGAATATATTCCTGTAGGCATCAGGACTGACTTCAGATTTTTCCAGACCCCAAGGAAACATGGGAAAGAAGCCTTTCCCACTGTTGATTGTCTTCAAGAGGCAGAAGGGCTGCAGCTATGTAAAACTTCAGCATGGTGTATAAAAGCGATGTCACACAGTCTTTGCTACCTGTGTGTATACATGTTGTTGTTGTTCTTAGTTGCGAAGTCTTGTCTGACCCATCGCGACCCCATGGACAACATTCCTCCAGGCCTTCCTGCCCTCCACCATCTCCCAGAGTCCACCCAAGCTCACACCAACTGCTTCAGTGACTCCATCTAGCCACCTCATCCTCTGCCGTCCCCTTCTTCTTTTGCCATCTATTGTTCCCAGCATTAGACTCTTCTCCAGGGAGTCCTTCCTTCTCATTAGGTGGCCAAAGTATTTGAGTTTCACCTTCAGGATCTGGCCTTCTAAAGAGCAGTCTGGGTTGATCTCCTCTAGGACTGACCGGTTTGATTGCCTTGCAGTACAAGGGACTCGCAGGAGTCTCCTCCAGCACCACAATTCAAAGGCCTCAATCCTTCAGTGCTCACCCTTCCTTATGGTCCAGCTTTCACAGCCATGCATTGCAACTGGGAAAACCATAGCCTTGACTATACGCACTTTTGTTGGCAGGGTGATGTCTCTGCTTTTTAGTATGCTGTCTAGATTTGCCATAGCTTTCCTCCCCAGGACCAAGGGTCTTTTAATTTCTTGGCTGCAGTCCCCATCTGCGGTGATCTTGGAGCCCAGGAAAATAAAATCTGTCACTACCTCCATTTCTTCCCCATCTATTTGCCAGGAAGTGAGTGGACCGGATGCCATGATCTCGGTTTTCTTAATGTTGAGTTTCAAGCCAACCTTTGCACTCTCCTCTTTCACCTGCATCAAGAGGCTCTTTAGTTCCTCTTCACTTTCTGCCATGAGAGTAGTATCATCTGCATATCTGAGGTTGTTGATATTTCTCCCAGCAATCTTAATTCCAACTGGTGATTCATCTAGCCCCACCTTTCTCATGATGTGCTCTGCATATAAGTTAAATAGGCAGGGTGACAGTATACAGCCTTGCCGAACTCCTTTCTCAATTTTGAACCAATCAGTGGTTCCGTGTCCAGTTCTCACTGTTGCTTCTTGACTCGCATACAGGTTTCTCAAGAGACAAATAAGATGGTCTGGTACTCCCATCTCTTTAAGGACTTGCCACAATTTGTTGTGATCCACACAATCAAAGGCTTTAGCATAGTCAATGAAGCAGAAATAGATGTTTTTCTGGAACTCCCTAGCTTTCTTCATGATCCAGCGTATGTTGGCAATTTGATCTCTTGTTCCTCTCCCTCTTCAAAACCCTGTCTGTACTTCTGGTAGTTCTTGGTCCACATACTGCTGGAGCCTAGCTTGTAGGATTTTGAGCATCACTTTGCTAGCATGTGAAATGAGTGCAATGGTGCAGTAGTTTGAACATTCTTTGGCATTGCCCTTCTGTGGGATCGGAATGTAAACTGACCTTTTCCAATCCTGTGGCCACTGTTGAGTTTTCCAAAGTTGCTGGCATATTGAGTGTAGCACTTTTACTGCATTGTCTTTTAGGATTTTGAATAGCTCAACTAGAATACTGTCGCCCCCACTAGCTTTGTTGTTTCTCAGTCTTCCTAAGGCCCATTTGACTTCACATTCCAGGATGTCTGGCTCTTCTAGCCTTTTTCAAAGAGAGCTTCCTGAGAAAGGTATCTGTAAAGATCATAGGGTTTTGGGAGGTGTAT